ACGGTCACTTGTGTTGGGCTGGATTGCTAGGCCCAACCCAGGTGACAGCTAGGGCTTACGTGGCGTAGTGAAGACCAGGACGTGGTCTTCGCCCTAGTCCAACTGTCCCGTGCTCTCCGGAAAGTGGGTTTGACCTGCTCTTTCGGAGGTGGGCAGTTGGTCGGTGATGTGTCCCCGCGGGGGGTGGGAGGGGGGGCACGTGGAGAACGTGCGAAAGACACGTTGTCCTGCCCGACAGGGGAACAAGTTCTGTCCGCGGAGAGGGCAGTGTCTGGTCGATGGGATAGTCTTGGGCTCGACACAGATGGGGAAGGTACTGTCCGCGGAGGGGGCATTACCTATTCGCCGGAGATCTTGTGATCGAAGGCTGCGGGTCAAGCTGGACTGGACTTGGCAGGATATTATCGGGCTGGGTCTGTCTGGCCAAGCCGGGGCCCAGGCCAGAACAAAATAAAAAATTAATTTAAATAATTTTGATCATATAAAAAATATTTTTTAAGTTTATAATAAAATTTTAGTAACATTATTAATTTTTTACTTAAATATTATTCATTAGTTTAACGTAATTAAATTTGTTTAATATTTTTCTTTTAATTAATGGTAGAGTCCATTTTAAAATTTTTTATTGAGACAAAATAAATTATAGATAAGGAATAAAATTGATGTGAATCACAAACTTCCTTTTACATTTTTTCAAGCTAAATATTGAGAGATCTTACATTAATAGTTCCAATCTTTAACTTGTGGCATCTTATATGCAAAATATGAATATTTAATCTTCGTTCCTCTTTTATACCCGACATTCTATATTTTAATATAGGGTCATGCTAACCAGTACCCTCAGGGCACTAGTTAAGAATTCCAAATAAAGAAAATATGTTATATTTAGTTCACTCAATACACACAATATTCTTTAAAAAGTCTGATTATTTTTCTTTTCAGGGCATTGAATACACATATATTTAGAAAAAAAAAATGTATTTTCAATCTCTTAAATAATGCCCAACTTACCATTTTAATCTCTTAACCAATGCCCTGAGGGCACTCGTTAGCATTTCCCTTTAATATATTGATGCAATTGACTATGCTATTATTTACTTATTAAAATTTATATATATATTTTTTTATCTTTTTTATATTTTTACTAATATGTAAAAAATTAAATTTCCGATACAATTTTTTTGCATTTCTTGAAAAACAAGGATTTTTACCGATATTTTGTTGTTGTAAATTTCCGATAAAGAAATACTGACAATTTTAAAAATTCTGATATTTATTTAAGAAAAAATCAAAAACATGCTGGCAATTTTCAAAAGTTTTGGATAGCAACTGAAACTTTTGGAAATTTCGATTTTTTTGGTATACTAAATTTTTTGCCTATACTTATAATTTTTGGTAGTACAGAAAATGTTTCACTTGTGTGATCTAGAACCGGCAGGATTTTTTTACAGATTTTACACAATTTTTGTCTAATGATGTTATATGTTTTTTATGTAACAAATTTAATTTAAAGATTTTTCCGTCTCTATGATATTGATAGTTTACTCTTTATATGTTATAAATGACAGTTATTTCAGTTTCGGTTTAAAATATTAGCATGTGCACATACTATTGGTAAACAATATGGTATTATTGTTGTAAATGTTCGTTCTAATATTGCAAATGGAAAGCGAAGGAGGAAAGATAAATTGATTTTGGTTTATGAGAGAGAAGAAAACTACAAAAGGAAGAATCTATCTGAAAGCAATAATTCCTCAGAAGGCATTTATAGTATGAAAGTTGAATGTCCTTTTAGAATGAAATGTATGTCAAGTGGTAGCGGTTGGAAGGTGATGGTTAGATGCGGGTTGCAAAATCATAAAATATATAAGGATTTAGATGACCATGACATATTAAGTCATCTAAAAGATCATGAAAGACGAGTTGTGAATGACATGACACAGTACAATATGCTCCAAGGTACATAATTGTTGTTTTGAAAGACAAAGATCTAAAAAATCTCACCAATGTTATCCAAGTGTATAAAGTTAGAGCTACATACAATGTGAGTAAAAAAGACTCATTGAAGGAAATGCAAATGTTGTTGAGTCTTATTCTTAGATAGAGATACATGTGCTGAAGTAGAAATAGGAAAGACTCAAATGTTGTTGCTGATATCTTTTGAAAGTTGTTGAATATGTTTTCTTTGGTGTTGATTTTTTATTGTACATACAAGACAAATAGGTAATGACCTCCACTCATTAAAAAATGGAGATTTTGATTTAGCAAGTTTTTGAATGTGTGCATCATAATCATATATGTACCAGCTACCACTGTTTGTGATTATTGGTGTTACGTCTGTTAGAACAAAAATGGTTGATACCATATCCCTTGAATTTTGATAATAATAAAGTATTTAAAAAAACAATTGAGCTTTCTAAAATTTATTCATGTATGCAAGTTTATAAGACTAAGAATAGATGAAGAGAAACATGAGGATCCTGATCTGAGGTTCAGACTCTGCTTCTGAAGATCACTTATGAAGACTCTGCCTCTGGTGGTGATCTAGACTCTGAGTAAGTCAACTCTGAAGAAAGTCAGTCTCTGGTGACCCAGACTCTAAAGCTTCAGAAATCAAGAAGTAGACTCTAAAGAGCAAAGTCAACCTCTGAAGGATCTTATCTTCTATCGAGACAACTCTAACAAACTCTGAGACTTTTTGATCACATGGAGACTTAAGAAAAACTTTCTTCTTAGTTGTCTGAGCTTTAACGGATGATTCATCTTACAGAAAGGTGTTTTCTTGATGTGTCTAAACAAGTACAAAGCTAGTCAAACTTTTCGTGAAAGTCTTCTCAACGACTCTTTTCTTTCACTCTATAAAAAGAGCAAAATGATTTGAAGAATACGACTAATAATCTGCTCTACAAGACTCTAAACATTGACATTCAAAGAGAAGTTACTATGTCAAAATTGCTAGACTTTGAACATCTTAATAGTTGCATATTTTAGAAGTTCTTAAGTCTTAGAGTCTTTCCAAGTTGTATTTTGTCTACACCTCTGATTGTATATTAAGTGTAGTTGTTACCCAAATCTCTTAAAAATTTATTATAGAGTCATAAGTCTCTTGATTTAGTGCTTGAGCATTTGATGTCTCTTGCTTGTATGCTTGAGCATTTAAGTCTCTTACTAGTAGGTTTGAGCATTGGAAGTCTCTTGCTTGTGTACTTGAGTATTGAAGTCTCTTATTAGTGTGTTTGAGCATTGGAAGTCTCTTGCTTGTGTACTTGAGCATTGAAGTTTCTTACCAGTGTGTTTGAGCATTGGAAGTCTCTTGCTTGTGTACTTGAGCATTGAAGTCTCTTATCAGTGTGTTTGAGCATTGAAAGTCTCTTGCTGGTGTGCTTGAGAATTTATAATCAGTTTGGTTATAGTGGAAATCTATTGGAAGTACAAGGAGACTAAACAACTCTCAAGTGGTGAAAGGAACCAAAATAACTACTTGCATCTCTTGCTTTACTTTGTTTGCTTATGCATTTATTCCGCTGCTATCTTTTGTGTACTTCTGAGTCAGATTCTGTTTCATAATCTGATAAGGATTTTCAAAGAGTTCAGACTCTAAAGAAGTGACTCTGATTCAGATTATGAATTGAGTGTTCAGATTCTGATTGAGCTCTATCAGAAGCTGAAGAAAAAAAAGTTTGAGAAATAAGAGAACACAATTCAACCCCTTTCTTGTGTTTTTCTCACCTTCATGTTGACGTTTTTGGTTGGCTTTTCCGATTTGGAACATGAAATGGAGGAGAACTTCAAATGGGCACGGGAGAAGCTCAAAGAGTTGTTCTCTTCTGAGAATTTGCTACCAAAGATCATGATGATGGACCCAGAACTTGCATTGATGAATGCCATGGAAGTTGTGTTCCCAAATTTAACTCATCGGTTGTGTTCGTTCAAAAAATGTTAGTATGAAATGTGATGAGTATGTTAAGTCAGAAAGACAAGAACATGTCATGGATCTATGGAACAACATCATGTATTCTAATAGAGAAACTAAGTTTGTTGAACACTTAAGCACCTTGAGACTGTTTTATGATATTCTTTTTATTTGTTAAGTAGGTGAGTAAAACATGGTTAACATATATTTTTATTTATGATTTTTAAGTTGGAGTCTGTTTATTGGAGACTAAAAATATGTTGATTATAGAAGATTTAATGCAGGAAAAAAATGAAATGTAGAAAAAAAAATAAAAAAAAATAAAAAATTTCAAATTTTCAAAATTTGTGATAAATATCGGAAATTTCACAATTTTTAAAATTGTGATAAATTAAATTTTTTTTACAATTTTTGATAAAAGAAAAAACTGAAAACTTCAGAAGTTTCTGTATGTATATACCGAAATTTCCTAATAAGAGTCTATGGAAGCAAATATGGAAAGCTCCTCTTCAAAACAACATTTAGAATTTTTTGTGGAGAGCTATGAAGAACATTCTTCTAGAAAAAAGGTTTGCATCTGGATTCTTTGGACCCTTTTATCCATCTCATTCTGGAAACTTCCCAACACCTCTTTCTCCATTGTGATTTTGCAAATAAGTATTTTTCTCTTCCCCTTTGGGTTACAGGATTTAGGGTGAATCTGATTTAAATGAGTGGTTGCTCTATTGCTTGGGTAAAGTTGATCTTTTACCTTCCCAATTGCTTTGAACCATGTTGTGAAAATTTTGGTTTGTTCGAATCTTATTTTGTACCAACACAAACAGGTTCATGCCGAAGCAGTGGCAGATGACTCGAAACCAAAAAGTCACAGAAGAATCCCTACCCACACAATACAATAAAACAGTAACAGGCACAGGGACCCAATTAGATTCACAATCAACTAAATCTAATAGCTTAATTACCAAGCACCAATTTAATTTAATTTAATTGCTTAACAACTACACAACTTCACAAGTTAATACTAAATGAAATGAAGCCATTGATTAGAATCTCACACCATGAAACATAAGTAAAAATTAGAAAGTATTCAAGTTGCATAAACAGTTGGAGTTGAAACTTCTGATCTAGATTCCGTAGACGATGGTCGATTTTCGGGACGAATCCCTTCCATCATTCTCACCACTTCAGACATTTTCGGTCTCTGATCTGGCATTCTTGCAGCACAAGCCATCCCTATCTGCAGCATCTCCACCATTTCTTCTTCTATATTTGAATACCTCAAAAGCTCCACGTCGAAAACCTCTGCAGTCCATTCCTCTCTCACAACCGAATTCACCCACCTAACCAAGTGAACAATTTGTTCGCCTTCTGCAGAATATATAGGCGATTTTCCAGTTAGAAGCTCGAGTAGCAGGACACCAAAACTGTATACATCAGACGAATGCGTTGCTTTACGTGTATCAGTTACTTCTGGCGCACGGTATCCTGATGCTCTTGTCCCTGGTGAAGGTATTGAACTCATCAATGTTGCTAAACCGATGTCAGATACACAACCGTATCCTTGTTCGTTGACGAAGATGTTCGAGGCTTTTATGTTTCCATGAACTAGTTTCCCTCCTTGTTGAACATGGATGTGAGCAATGCCTCTTGAGGTTCCAATCGCGATTCTTAAACGGCTATCCCAGTCTAGCGAAATTCTTCCTTCTCCTCGGTTACCTTCATGATTTAGATTGCATTAGCCCCTTTCAAAAGTCAGAAAATTTGATCAAGTAAATCAAGATAATATAAGAGAAAAGATTCAACAACATAACATACCATGTAAGATGGAAGAAACACTTCCTTGTTGATAATAATCAGATACAACTAGTTTCTCATCCTTTGAATAATAATAAGCTCTTATTGAATCCACATTTTCATGCTTAAGTTTCCCTACAACTTCCATCTGTTGTTCAAAATCCTTTTTCCCAACAGTTACCTCTTTCAACCTCTTCACCACCACAGTGCTTGCATCCTCTAAAGCAGCTTTATATGTTGTACCAAAACTACCCTTTCCAAGAATCTCAGCAGAAGCTCTCAAAAGATCCTCTAGATCGAACGCGAGATTGCAATCCTCGAAAAATACTATTTTGTTTTTATCTCGGCTTACAGAAGTTTCTGCTTTCATAGAGATATCTTTTTTCTTAGATTTCACAGATTCTTTTACACCCGCAGCAGCAAAGTCATAGCAGCACAGAACCATGACAACCGCAATCACTGCGAACCCAAGTGCGCAAACACCGATGATGATTCCTAATAATGCAGTTTCACTTAGTTCTTTGGTTTTCTTAGGTGGAAAAGTATAAGGTGGATGCATAGGCAAAGCCGGAGGATGTGAATGATTTACCGATGTAAGATTGTTACCCGAAAAAGCCCAACTTGGAAATCTAAGAAGTGATTTTGGCACAACACCACTAAGGTTATTGTTTGCTAAATTTAGTTCTTGAAGGCTATGAATATCAATATCGGGAACCTCACCAGAAAGAGAGTTGTTTGCAAGGACTAGTGAACTTAGATGAGTCAGATTCGAAACCGAAAAAGGGATGCTACCATTAAAGAAATTGTTGGACAAATTGACAACAGTGAGATTATTCCAAACAGAAAAATCCAATGGCAATGGTCCTGAAAATTTATTAGATTGAAGATAGAGACTAGTCAAGTTTTTCAGCTCAGAGAATCCATCAGGGAAAAAACCAGTGATACCATTTGATCTAAGACTCACTGTCTCAAGAGCCGCGAGGCGGCTGAGCGTGTTCGGTGGGATTGGACCGCTTAATCCAGCTCCAGGTAACCGAATCGCTATAACTCGAGACCGATCAGCGTTGCAGGTAACTCCTCTCCATGTTTGGCACACAGAAGAATTCTCATCCCAATTGACATGTGGAGAATGACTCATGTTATGAAGAAAATCAAGTAAAGCTTGTTTATCTTCCACTGGTTCAGCTTCAACACTAACCAACACTACTGAGAATATCAACCAGAGAAACAAATTCTTGTCCATATTTTGACTTGAAGAGAGAATAACAACACTTATGTAAAGTAATAAACTCTCTCTATCTTCTCAGATATCAGTCACTTTCACATGAAATTAACAAAACTGAAGAGGTAACATAGGATTAGATTATTAAACAAAATAAAAATACAACTTGTGTTGCGTATGAGACTTGTTTGAATGTACAATTGTATATACAGTATACATTTCACACAGACTATATACAGTAAGGTCAAAATAAACAGCTAATGTTTGAACGGAAAATAATTAACCTTATTATTATCATCAGTTTAACACTAGCCAATAATAATTTGCTGACCAAGTCATTGAACACTAGTAATACTAATGCATAATGCTACAGAAACAAAGGAATTGATAGAGTTTGATAAAGAGAGAAAAGTAACAGACTTACTTGAAGAAATGGAGAAGGAGAGGGAGCATGTTGTTGTTGTTTGAGAAGCAGTTAGAAGTTGGGAAATGGAAATGGTAATGATGGGAGATGAGCTGGATATGGTAGCGGGAACAGCGGCATCACATGCAAATGGAGTAAGACAAACTCATTCGATATATAATCATCATTTTCAACCCAATTGCTAACTACTAGTATATATAATAATATTATTTTATGCCGTACTAGTAGGAGGGTGCATATGATGTGAAATGTATGGACCCTTATTGTACATTATTGTCTTGCAAACTATACTTTTTTCTGTACCAATACAACTATACCACTTGTACCTATTACTTGCAAAATACTCCTCTACATTAAGGAATTTGGTTTAAAGAATTAAGGAATTTTATGCCTGCAGTATGTCCCTTCTTGTATCTCTCCTTAGGATGGCATTCTTATTCTCCTTGAGGATTATTATGGGTGGCAAACGGACATGCCTGTGCCGTTTAAGTCCGTCTTGTAAAAATTTGTAAAAATATGGGACGGGATGAGACGGATATAGTTGAGGATGCAAATTTAAAATTTAAATTTGTTCCACAAAAAGTGAGAGCCAGACGGATAAAGCCCTTTGGTAATGTACTTTTTAAACTTAAAAATGCAAATAAACCTGCGAAGAAAATGGGGAGGAACAAACACATTAGAGAGCGAGGGTCTAAATCCTTAGTCAACTCCACACTAAAATGCAGGCAAAACAGACATGTCCAACGGGTTGGACCCGTTTTGTCCTCCCTATGGATTATGAGTTGGTCTTTGGGGTCTTTTTCTAAAATTGACAACGCGTAAAAATGTGACACTCTGTAAAACTATTGGATGTTATCAAATGTAGTAATTCATAGCTCATAAGCTAATCAATTTTGTGTCTTTGTAACTAAGTGCTCTAATTAGTCATCAAACAATATTTCAACATTCCCACAAGTCAATTTAGGAGGTGTGTCAATGGCAGGATCCCTCAAGGTAGTCGGCACAAACCCAAACTACCTCAATACACGCTCTAGTAAATAAACGTCTACAACTGGGGACTATAACCCTTTATATATAAGAATCTCGTGCCCTTTCATGAAGAGTCATGTTTGTTTAAGTTTAGAATCTCATACCCTTTAATGAAGGGTCATGATTATTCAAGTTTTCTTATTCCAATTTTACCCATAAAAAAATAGAAATAAGACTTTTGGTATCTACACAATATTTTTCATGACAATTATATCTATAGTCATAAACCTTATATTAAATAGATCGTTTTAACTTGACTAATTAAATAATGGTTCTAACACATTATTTTATTACATGTATGACCCAAAAATAAAATTCTAACAATTTCTCACTGGTCATATATGTAACCCTATAAATGTGGTAGACTTTATGAACTCAAAAAATTTCCATTATAAACATTAGACATATCCTTGTCTCGTCCATCAGTTATATTAATATATAGAATCAAAGCGGTTTTTATTATATCAATCATAATTAAACCCATCAATAATCACAAATATCAACACAACTAAATGACATAGATTAATCATGAAATGTGAAGCATGAAAATCACATGAAGGTTGATGAGTCCAAGCCTTTGTGGCTGACATCAATTTTGGTAAACTAACTTGTCAGCAAGATGTTGGACAAGATGCCCTAACATGGTGAAGAACTAGCTGAAGATCAAGATGTTGGACAAGATGTCCTATCATGATGATTCAACATCTTTGTCTGGTATTTTCAGTTTTTATTTATGCTATTCCAGCTGTTAGATTATTCTAAGATTATTTGTTTTTCCTAGGTGGCGTCCAAGATTGAGGAATAAGAGATTCTTATTATAATTTGAAGATGTTGTTTCTAAGTGTGGTGACACTTTAGGAAACTTAGGATTGAAGAAACTATTCTAGAAGAGAATTGTTGCATATTCTGTAGAACAAAATTGCTGCATTTTTGAAGCTCAAATTCAGTCTACTTTATGGTTATAAATAGGATGGATTTAACTTAAGAAATGAGCGGAATTCGCATTGTTGCTTAGTGTGTACTAGAGTTTGTACTTTGTCAGCCTCTCTTGTATTGTGTTGATACTAGAGCTGGACAGTTTACATTGAGTTATAATTTTAGTTACTGCTATGATTGAAAGGGAATTAAGAAGGGTCTCATACCTAGAAAAAGTCTTAGGTAGAAATTAAGCACGGGTAGTGATTAAGTGATAAGTTGAAAAATGGAGGTTATTTTTTTTAGAATTAATACTATCTAAAGAATATCATTCCTGGTTTGGAAGCCCCCAGACGTAGGTGTTGTTGTTCACCGAACTGGGTTAACAATTTTGTGTGTTGTTTACTTTATGCAATTTATATTATGTTCTTTATTGTCATTGTGTTTGAAGCAGAGATCAAGTGTCTCGACATCTCTTAGGACATCTGAGATCTGCTACCAGAAGTTTAATTGGTATCAGAGTAGGCATCCTGCTCTGCATCTAGGTGAGATTCAGGGAAGATACTTTCTTGTACAATGGACAAAGAAGGAGGAATATTAAATAGACCACCAATTCTTGATGGATCTAATTATGAATATTGGAAAGTGGGCATGGTGGCCTTCATAAAGTTCATGGATGGTATAGCTTGGAAGTTTGTGGTAAAAGGATGGGATCCTTCAAAAGCTAAAGATAAGGAAGGGAAGATTACTAATCTGACAAAGTCTGAGGAAGACTGGGATGACGAAGATGACAAGCTTGATCAAGGTAAATCCAAAGCTTTGAATGCCTTGTTCAACGATGTTAACAAGAATATATTCAGGTTGATCAAGAATTGTACTGTTGCCAAGGATGCTTGGGAAAATTTTGAAGATTGCTTCTGAAAGAACTTTTAGGGTGAAATGTTCAAGACTTCAACTTCTCACCACCAAGTTTGAGAACTTGAGGATGAAAGAGGATGAAAGTATCCAAGACTTTCATATGAACATCATTGATATAGCCAATACTTCAAGTGATCTTGGAGAAAAGATTCCAGAAGCTAAGCTGATCCAGAAAATTTTAAGATCTCTTCCCAAGAAATTTGACATGAAGGTGACTGCTATTGAAGAAGCCTAGGATATAAACACCTTGAAGGAAGATGAACTCATGAGTTCCTTACAAACGTTTGAAATGGTTATCAGTGAGAAGTATGAGAAGAAGAAAATTTTAGCCTTGGTGTCTAATCAAGATGAGTGTGATACTAATTCAAATGAGGAATTGTCCAAGGCTGTGGGGCTTCTTGAGAAACAGTACAACCAATTGTTGAAAAAACTGGACGAGAAGTCAAGATCTAATGTCAGGATTTAGTCATCCGACGTAAACAAAAGGAAGAATTTTGGAAAAAGAACCCATAATGATAAGAAACCCATCAAAGGTAAGGGAATCCAATGTTATGAGTGTGAAGGGTTTGGACACACAAGAGTTGAGTTTCCTACATTTGTCAACAAGGAGAAGAAATGATTATCTACATCTTGGTCTGAAGATGACTCCTCAAGCGAGGGAGAAATGGGTAAACATGTTTATGCACTTACTAGAGTATATGATTCTAATAAGGAATCAGATGTTGAAGAATTCACTCCTAATGAACTGGCTACTTCTTATAAGGAGATGTGCATCAGAAGTGTAGAAGTGTGTCAATTAGGGAAAGATCAGCAGGATCTTATTGCTCAACTCTATGACGCAAGACTAAAGCATTTGACTACCATTTCTGATCTGGAGGATGAAGTTGTATTGCTCAATTCAAAACTTGACAATATGACTAAGTATATAAGAATGCTCAATAGTAGTTCTGATGTGCTAGATGAGATTCTTCAATTTGGAAGGGACGCTGGAGATATCAGAGGAATTGGTTACAATGACCAAGTTGTGATGAATAAAATAAAAGAGCCAGCATTGAGTTCTTCTCAGCCTAAAAGAGAACAGAATCAGAAGATGTCAAAAGGGATGTCTCAACATCAACATAAACATCAAAAAAAGTCTTCAGGAAAAAAGAAGCAGGACTGGAAATGTCATAACTATGGGAAGTATGATCACATAAAGGCTTACTGATACAAGTTGCATGGTTACCCCAAATCAGCGAGTTAGCCCAGTAGGAGAAAGGATAATACTAAGGGAAAGAAGAAATGGATTCCTAAGAATGAAAATGTTGCTCTGATAGCCCATACCTCTCTAAGAGTATCTGCCATAGAAGACTGATATTTTAATAGTGGTTATTCTAAACACATGACTGGTGTCAAGAAGTTCTTGGTTGATATTAAACCATATTCCACTAGCTATGTCACCTTTGGAGATGGATCAAAAGGAGAAATAAAGGGTGTTGTGAAGCTGAACTATGCTGGGCAGCCCAACCTGGATAAGGTGTTGCTTGTCAAAGGACTAACTGCTAATCTAATAAGTATCAGTCAACTGTGTGACCAGAGTCTCAAAGTTAACTTTACCAAGTCTGAATGTTTGGTGATGAATGATAAGGATGAAGTTATCATGAAGGGAGGCAGATCCAAGGATAATTGCTACTTCTGGACTCCTCTTGAAACAAAGCGTTCCTCTATCTGCCTAATGTAAAAAAAAAGGATGAGG